AAAACAACATACACATACACCGATACAAAAACATAATACGTATCACACTGATACAAAACATCATACTACATACACTGATACAAAACATTATACTACACACTGATACAAAACATCATACTACATACACTGATACAAAACATTATACTATCACACTGATACAAAACATCGTACTACATACACTGAATACAAAACATTAATACACACACTGATACAAAAACAATCATACTACATACACTGATACAAAACATTATACTACACAACTGATACAAAACATCATACTACATACACTGGATACAAAAACATTAAAACTACACACTGATACAAAACATCATACTACATACACAGATACAAAAACATTATAAATACTACACACCTGAAACAAAACATTATACTACACACTGATACAAAACATTATGTTGCTTAGTATATCTTCCCAGCTTATATCGGTTAGGACTTGGTTTACTTGGTCCCACTTTACGTTTTTGTTATTGAAGTTGAATTTGGTGAATGCTCCCTCGGGACTAATCTCATTATGTCGGTCTGGGGCTCCGCGCATACATGTCTGAACCTCAATTATGTTGTGATCTGGGTATATTGTTTTTGATATGGTGACATTTCGTATCAGATCATCATTGTTACTGAAGATGAGGTCTAGTGTATTCTCCAGTCTAGTAGGCTCTATTATTTGCTGGTTTAAATTGAATTTTGTGCAGAGATTTAAAAGCTCGTGTGTGTGTGTGAGTTCTCGTCAGAGCTGCCTCCTGGTGTTATTACTGCAACAACATTATTTGCTATATTCCTCCATTTTAGGTGCCTAAAGTTGAAATCCCCCAGGAGCAAGATGTTGGGGGCAGGAGCTCTCAGATTTTCCAGACAGTGGTCAATTTTTAACAGCTGTTCCTGGAATTGCTGGGACGTTGCATCCGGAGGCTTGTAGACTACCACAATGACTAGGTTTTGGTTCTCGATCTTTACTGCTAAAACTTCCACTACATCGTTTGAGGCATTAAGCAGTTCTGTGCAAACAAGTGACTGCGATGTACAGGCCAACCCCCCCCCCCCCCTTTTTGCCTGTTCACTCTGTCGCATCTGTACAGGTTGTAACCTGGGATCCATATTTCGTTGTCCAAGTGATCCTTTATGTGGGTCTCTGTGAAAGCCGCGAACATTGCATTTGCCTCTGCAAGCAGTCCACGGATGAAAGGTATTTTGTTGTTTGTTGCTGGCTTTAGACCCTGTACATTTGCAAAGAAGAATGTCATCGGGCTGGTGGTATTGTTGGTACTGGGGGGGATTTTTTTTTCCGGCATTAGTATCTGTATCTGTTGGTTTGGAGTGGAGGCCATTGACTGTGAGCAACAGCTGAGAATGCATGACAAAAGAAGTTACTGGAAAGTGTTCAACTCTGGTGTACTGTCTGCCAAGCCTCTTGCGTGTTTGGAAGCATGGCTAAACATTTCGCTGTACCTTGGAATCGAACCCAGGACCATGCGATTGTGAGACGAATGCTCTTGCCAGAGAGGAAGTGTATAAGCACCGTGATAGTGGTGAGTCTGTGGTGTAGCGTGGGCGTTGCTACATGATTGCCAGTCACCACGTTATGCTTCATGCTTCCTCCCACACAACTCTCCTCTCATACACCGTAAGTACTCTCACACACTATAGCGCTTTATAATGGAAAAGAGTTTTTGATATTCCACTAATCATTGTTGTTAGTTTGTTAAGTTTATGGCCTGCCGACTACACGATAGCTATTAAGATGCACCCAGTCTCTGATATTAGTGTCAAAGAGAATTCAATCCCTAACATAGGGAGGGACTGAAGTAAGCTCATAGTTTATTTTTGTTTTGCTTGCAAGATTTACAATGTGGTTCCGCATAGACACTTTGATATCCATCTCATCCAGGGGTTCCATTCGTTCTTAACACTGATCCTGCATTACCATCATGGTAAGTAAGTTTATTCAGGTACACACAAATACAGTTACATAGATTATCATACATAGCAGGATATGTGTAAAGAACCTAGGATAACCCAAAAAAGTTAGACAGAGTGACTTATTTCCACTGGGGTGCCTAGAGATCATCATATGTGTATTCTCAGAAGCAACGGTAACCTGATATAGGTGTAAGATGATGTATATCCTGCTCTTTTTCTGTACAATATAAAATAAAATATTTGACATAAATAATGAAAAGGTAACCATTAGTGATATTCGTAATAATGGTAGAATTACCGACTAAATGCTAAGTAGCTGGACACAGATGCAACTAATGTGACATTTTATTGAGGCAACGTTTCGCTCTCCAGGAGCTTTGTCAAGCCGTAACGAAAAAATAAGACAATAAACTGTCACATTAGTTGCATCTGTGTAAATCTAGCAAACATTAATGATGTTGTACAGAGTATGAGAGAATGTTGTGATGATGACACCTTGTGTTAAATACTCGTACATGACGACGATCATAGATATACTTCAGCGGCGTTATCATTATTAATTTATTTATTAATTATTTGGACATGATACATAGTTGTACAAAAGAAATACAGTGGTTGAGTGTACATGCCAACAGCCCCTTGTATGCAGAGCATTGTGGGCAGGCTTAAAATTAACTTAAGATTAACTAAGCAATGGTATATTCAGTGGTAAAAATACAGTAAACAAATTACAACATGAAGTACAAATGAGTATTTCAAATATGAGGCTTTATAGTTGCACAAATTTGTAGCAAATTTATATAATCTTGTCAAATCGAATAAAATCAATGATTTGTAGTGCAGAAACAGGTCATACGGTCATTTCATATCTGAGAGAGGGCTGAGCTTGCTACCATCTGCAGCTCATAAGACTGCCATCCCCACGAGCCCCTTTGAGGCGGGGTAGATGGCAGACCAGAGGCCTAGCTTCTCCCTACGAGCCCCGTGAGGGCGGGGAATGTGGCTAGGCCTGGGGACACTTGGTCCCAAAGATGAGGAGACTTAAGTCTCGAGACACTCCCCAGATAGGGAGCCAAGGCCGGGTCACCACTACTTGGAAAAGACCCGGGCCGGGAGAATACCGGCGAATAAAAAAAAAAAAAAATTTCATATCTGTTATTCATCAATAACATAATGGGAAGGGCAGTGTGGCCACTCTCAGGAGAACGACAACATCCTGAGCGCTTGTTTGCAAAAAAAAAAAAAAAAACTAAACTGACAGATTCTGACATGGAAAAAAATGTGGATTTATATTAAGTATATGAATACTGTGGAAACTTTTGAATTTTCCTACATTCAGCATGTGTAAATTTGAATTATATAATAACTGTGTATTAAAATGTGATGCTGATTTGACCCTTTGAGAAATTTTGATTGAGGGGGAGGCGGAAGAGCCCGGGAGTGATGCCGCGGGAGGAAGTCATTGGTAATTTACGAGCACTGGTTGTCGAAGAAAATTCTGCAGTGTAATCAGGTGTCATCAAAGTTCACTTGGTGTATATTGAACCCAATCCGTAATTTAGAAATAGTTAACACGCTCCCGCTGAAGAACTGGGATAAATAATATGGAAAACCTTTTTATTCGGAAACAAGAACGAAAAAATAGAGGACACCGATTTTTCCCAGGAGCACACCTTAGCTAAGTGACGCTTACCCATAATGTACAATAGTTTTGCGTTGGCCATCATAAATTCTAGCTGTTGTGATAGCGTTAGGGTGTGTTTCCAAAAAATAATAATTATGATCCAGTAATTAAATGGTAAGTAGTAATACGAATTTCTTTTCTAATAACACCATTGTATTATATGTACTGAAGTAATAGTAATATTTTGTGTACCCAGCAGGTAAACTAAAACACAGTCCACACAGTTTTAATCTACCAGAGTAGCTGGTTTTAATATTGTAATTATTAATTTAATTCAGGTCTAGCTTTTTGTGAGAGTGGTTATGGAGTGGACATCGAGGGAGTGACAGTTTTGCGACCTACTGTGACTAAGTCCCACTTACCTCACCCAAATTACTTGCACGTAATAATTCAGGTAATGCCCTGTAAACCTCGTGCAGGTAATTGCTCACATAATAATAATTCATAAATACTTCAAAATTCTATTATTATATTTAGAGAAAAGCGCTAAACCCACAAAGGTCATACAGCGCCCGGAAATGGGAAGCAAGGAGGTTCGTTCCACGGAAGAGATGGGGAAGTTCAGTTCCTTGAATTAGGAGCCCCCTAGCCAGCATCAGTGAATCTCACTTGAAGGGGACCCTTCAGAGACATGTACCTCACTTTCGAGACTATTCTGTCTGTGAAAGACAGCATGGTGCTCTTACCATAGACTTTGCAGATCCTTTTAAGAACATTATTAATTGAAAAGAAGGGAGAGGTAAAGATTATATCAGTGGGGCAGGCCAGTGTTGAAACTACTGCACCAGGGGTCTTCATCTCACTACTTCAGATAGGTCTGCCCGTTCGAATGCATCGCCATCTTGGCTAATTCAATAAGCAGCCATAGATTTTGTTAAGCTTACTCAGAAGTGAAGAGGTCTGAATCTAGTGCAGAAGATCAAAACGTACAACCATCCCATGATCATTTTGTGCAGACTGAATGGCTTCAACAAATTCCATGGATTGGGATAGTAGCTGCAGTGACTTCTGGTACTAAACTGCAAACAGTAGCGCCAAAATGTATAGAAGTATCGACTATAGGGAAAATTTTATATTAATGTTTTTAATAGTCCGTCCTGTAGTAAACCTAGGTAAATTGTCTACACAAACTAATCTCCCACGGAAGCTCTGATAAACATTATTACTCAATTCAAATAGGGTTCGATTAAAAGAGTGTGAGTTTAAATTTAAAAACTATCACTTCATCAAGTAATTAAAGATTCATTATGAATTCAGGAAAGCTTGTATAATAACTGAATAAATCATAATTATTGGAGAATACTATATCATATCGTTGTCTTTGGGAGCGATATAATTAACAAAGATTAGATACTGTTTTGAGCCGTGGGTCGTCCGGACGAGAGAAGTAGCAGTCACCATCATTTCAGACACCAAGAATTTAGCAAGTATGTCAAAGCCTGGAGATCCTCCTCAATAGCCTATCCAAATATCCAGAAATCTGAACTGCTGGAAGAGAAGGAGTCAATGGAAGCCTTAATGCAATATACCACTCACTGCAGCATCTACAGGTCTGTTTCAGCGAGAATATTAGCTAGGATAGCTATTCTTGAATCGGTTTAGTCATTCATCTAAATCGTGAACAGTTCATTTATAAGTGGATTCTTTACCCAAAATACGTATATCACTAGTCCTTAACACCTTAATGATAATATTGTTTGTAGCATGACGTAAATTAGGAATTTACGTCATGCTACGTCAGTTTATCATTATTTACAGTTAACCAGCCATCATCAGCACGAGCGTTCAAATTCCAAGACAGTTAATTAACCTAGAAACAAGCTTGTTAGAAGTTAGCTATCTGGGAAAACCTTAGCAAGAGACAATTTCTACATCTCGGGTAAGTCTGTTCCTTGCGTTTGTGTGATGCTGTACTGTTGGTCTTTCCTGTATTTTTAGCCAGGGAAAATAAATATACAGGAAATTTGTGGGAGCACGAGTATCACGTTAATTTGCGAAAGAAGAATCTACCTAATGTATATATATATATATATATATATATATATATATATATATATATATATATATTAGGTAGATTCTTCTTTGAATATATATATATATATATATATATATATATATATATATATATTATATATTATATATATATATATATATATATATATATATTCAAAGATTTCTACACTGATTAATCAGTGTTGAACAGTCTTGAAGTTCTGGACTACAGAGGTGAACTCTTCTCCAAACTGATAGATTGAACACCTCAAAACTGTCTTTAAGACTGATGGATTGATCACATCATCTTTCCTTCTCTACTACTACTGTCTCCATATTTAGACACCTTTGTATTCGACTGAAGAAGCCTACTGTGTAGGCGAAACGTTTCGGAAAAAAAGATACCTAACTGTTACACATGTGTCTTGTTCACGAATAATGATGCAAGTGTTTAATTTGCGCATTTTGAACTCCAACGAGACAAACCACACAAGTCATTACACTTTCAGCACTCGTTCCACTTTCAACGTAAGACGTCAACGAAAATTTCATCATAGTAGCATAACAAATTAACTGATGGTGAACTTTCAGCAGATAAAGTCGGTTTAGAAGTATCTATCTGGCAAGTCCGACAAAACGTGGATCATGAAAAGGTTTGTTTGCAATCGTGTCATTACGATTTCGTGAGTCAAGCCTGCTATAAATTGTCATCGCCCTAGAGGTCTGTTTGCAATACATATTTTATACCATTTTCAACATACCTGTCAGACACGGCAGCACAACAGTATCTTGGTACAGAGGACATCTTCCACAACCTCGTCGCTTAACTAATAGTTAAAACTGAGAAGGGTTGGATTCCAGAGGGACCTGTTTAGCATGGACCTGTAGGATTGCTGCAATGCTCCTCAATTCTTGCCTTCTTGTTTCTACTAGTGAATCTCATCCCCTGCAACGTCTTCGAGATCTTCCACCTCACCTTCGACAGTATTTAATATTCCATTTTCAAGCTTCAGCTTCATATCATTCCAGACCATGGAGCTGAACTCTTCTCCAGACTGCGGGACTGAACACTTCAAATACTATTTCTCCAAGATTGATGGACTAATTACATCATCTTTACCTAGCCACTATTCTTGCTGTTTACAATACATTCTTCTCTATTTTTGACTGATGAAGCCTACTGCGTAGGCGAAACATTTCAACAGATACCTAACTGCTGTCATTGTGTCTTAATCATCATAGAGATGACTGATGTTGGGTACAATTTGTTCGCAAAATTTGTGCAAATCTATATTAAACAGATTATCCATCTCATAAACCAGGTGATAGGTTGTGTCGTAAATAAGTCAGCAAGGAAATAAACTTAGCAGGGCAAGCGAGGACAAATGCAAATAAGCAGGAGTAAGAGCCACTAAGCACAGAGGGCACGACCAGAGACGGATGGTCTCCTAATCCTGCTCGCTACGTGGAATACGTCACTTGGCAGATTTCGTAGGCTTTCACTGATTGGCTGTTTTGAACCAGTAATAAGCACTGCGGTAGGGCGCCAGAACTGCTACTCTGAATTGCTAGTTCACTGGTCGAGAGGGCATAACACAGTAGGTGTGAGCCGCACGTCGAATAAAATGTAACATACTTGATTCGCGCCACACTGGTTATCGAACAAGTACTAATGAAAAACATGAAAACGACAGGAAAGAAGTTGAAAAGAGTGGAATCCTAGCTGGAATCATGCTACCTAAAGTCGGTACCTGACCAGCCGGGCTGTGGCTCGTACGTTGGTTTGCGTGCAGCCAGCAGTAACAGCCTGGTTGATCAGGCTCTGATCCACCAGGAGGCCTGGTCACGGACCGGGCCGCGGGGGCGTTGACCCCCGGAACTCTCTCCAGGTAACTCCAGGTAAACAATGAATTTTAGTAATTTAGCAGAGGAAAATAACTATTATATGACACTTCACTTATTATGGGTGACATGGCTGTATAGTCCTTGTGGCTTAGCGCTTCTTTTGATTATAATAATAATAATATGGGTGACATGTCGTGTAACAAAGGTGTTCCCTACTGAAAGTATCTCTGAAATTTCCACTTGTCGGCTTACACCACTTGATATCTACAAACGCTTTTGTATGTGCCTGCATGAGCTGATTTAATGGTGCCATGCAGGAGGTAGCGGATGATGGAGGTGTCAGCGCCTCTACCACTGCCACTGCAAGATGTATGTTAACTCTGTTACTAGTACGTATAAATGCCCCAATTTGTTTATGTATATGAAGCCAGTCCATCTACTATGATGTTACACATCCTCGTCAAACAAGAGGGACTATAAGTAAACTTTGTGGGGAACATGCCCATCAGAATGAAGAAGGTAACATTACAAAGATTTGATATCGTGCTCAGTGAAAAGCTGCAAGAAACTGGATGCATGACTGTTCAGACAGAATTTTTTATTAAATAGTGGGGCAGCACTAAATCCATAGGTGTCATATAGCGCCTGGGGAATGGGAGATATTTAGGTTCAGTCCAAGTCCAGTTGCTAGGATCAAGAACTCCTCACCAGAATGAAGGCATCACCTTCTTGCGGGTGATACCGATTTGTTAACTGTTCAAACAGCGATAAAATCTGCTTCCACGTAACCGTTAAGGAAGAGGACGCAGATATTGTTTTGCTTTCATGCTAGTTAAACAAAAGAATATCCAATAAGACTAAAAAAAAAAAATCTGAAGCATTCCTTGGCTGTAGTGCTTTGGGTCCAGAGACGTGCGATTTGCTTCCATTTATACATGCAGTATGTTGTTTTGACTCAACGTCAAGTCTGTTCGGCATTCTAAAAGAAGTTGCCCTGATGAAGATGAACAATAATAATCACTTCAAGAAACAGGCAGAAGTATTTTGCCGAGTAGCAACGTAGATGAGGTCACACAACTGAAGAGGCGCTCGTCTACCTGTACAATGGTACCCGACGTGGACTAGGATGCACTGCTGCATCATGACGCAAACACTACTGTGTAGATTCACACTCTGAATGTAGCTGCATGATATCATAGTATGTGTATTAATTTCAAACTTCGGCAGTGGATGGGTATGCTTTGGGTCCAGTAGAATATAGATGAAAACTGGTCAATGGTCGACTTGAACCACAAATAGATTTACCACCAGCTCCAGAAGTTCTACTGAAGGTTTATCAGATGCAATTAGAAAACGGACTGGGATATGAAATGATGTACCTAGTTTTATCTACAACATACTTCTTATCATCAAAGCTACACAACTTTCTCCCTTTTTGCTGTTGGTGGTACACATTGCAATTTTCACATTCGTTTTACATATAGAGACAAACTTATCTGTACCAGGAATGGTTAATATCCTTTTAAGTCTATCATGTGTATGTAGGGGAGTATAATGATTATTATAATCATGGGGAAGCACTAAACCCGTAGGATTATACAGCGCCTGTGGGGGAGGGGATAGAAGGTATTCAGGCTTAATTCAGAGAACTGGAACACTGATCCAATTCCCTAGATCAAGAGCCCCTCACCAGCGTCAAGGAACCTCCCTTGAGTGGGGGGGGGATAAGCACAATGAGAAAGGATTCATATCGTCCTACACGAGTTCTGAATCTACTTTTCATTCTACATTTAATAAAATTTAGTTAGACCTGATTATGATTTATCTTGAGTTTATGGACTATATGTCTTGGGAGTATGAGAATAGATGTACCATGCAAGTTCCTGGACTGTAGGATGAGGAGATATACACGATACATGACACAGAGTCGCCGTGCAGCCACCGTGCAGAGAAGGCGTCTTCGTTCCTGCTCTTCGGTTATCCTGAGTAATTCTTGATCAGAGCAACTCTGAACACTGTTACTCGAGATTTTTCTTGGGTTATCCTGAGTTGTTCTCGACCAGTGCTGAGAGGAAACTTGCTGGCAGGCACTTCAAACACCATCCCATCAAGAGGATAAGGCGGTAACTTGTTTGCTTGTTCACCCCTCTCTTCCCCATACCCCCATCTTTCCCCATCCTTCCCTCACCCAAACATCCCCTCACCCACACACTAACACACTACTTACATTGCTATCCTTCTGACTTTCCTATCTTCTTCTTTTTGGCGAGTTAGCACAAGGCATTTTGACCATCCGGTAGCCCGTGTGGTTTTTTAAAATCCAGCCGATCTTTGCCTTGGGCCCTGTCCCCCTCACTACTCGAGGGCAGGCTATCTTAGGGGCCCTGTCCCCCTTACTACTCGAGGGTAGGCTATCTTAGGGGCCCTGGCCCCCTCACCACTCGAGGGTAGGCTATCTTAGGGGCTGACCTTCATAAGTCAGCTGAAATAGGATGTCAGGACTAACACTAAGGAAAGACCCTTTTTGTTAAAGCAACTTCTGGGCCAGATGTACCTTCCTGGACATCATGGCACGAATAAGAGTTAGAATACGTGTTGATGACAATCAAAAGTCGAAGAAAGAAATTCTCGAATGTATTTGTTCGAATTCAACTGTTGCTCCAGTGGATGTTTTTCAAACCCACGCTGTGGCAGTACTTCTCTCTTCTGAAGA